GGTCAGGTGGGGAGGGCACACTGGTCAGGTGGGGAGGGCACACTGGTCAGGTGGGGAGGGCACACTGGTCAGAGGTGGGGAGGGCACACTGGTCATAGGTGGGGTGGCCACACTGGTCAGGTGGAGAGGGCACACTGGTCAGGTGGGGAGGGCACACTGGTCAGACCTGGTGTCCCCGTGGGAAGCAGACGTAATTATATGTACATGGCGGCCTCTGGGAAGCCTAATTGCTGTGGGAGCCATGGGGCCCCTCACCTGGCCAGGACTCTGCTGGCTTCTCCACCGGCCGGGGAAGGCAGGAGGCAGGTCCAGGTCCAGGCTGGACTGCAGCTCGGCGGGTCAGTTTGAACGCCCGGCACAACGTGAGCGTGGCCAAGGGCGTCTCCCTCCCACATGCAGGGCGGAGGAGGCCGGGCCTGGCAGACCAGCGTCCCCTCCAGCCTCAGACTCCTGCCTGGGCAGCGTGCCAGGGGTAGGTCCAAAAGGTTCTGACGCTGCCATAGGAGGTCAAAGGACACCACTGAGGGTCTGTCATCAAGCCCGCGCTGCCCAGAGAGGGCTGCGAGGCCTGGGCTGGAGTCCGCGCTTCCCTGGGGACGGGAGCCTCAGACCTCAGCCTCCCAGGTTGCTGTGGTGTCAGGTGTACCTCGCCCGCACCCGGGTTGCTGTGATGTCAGGGGTACCTCGCCCGCACCCGGGTTGCTGTGGTGTCAGGTGTACCTCGCCCGCACCCGGGTTGCTGTGGTGTCAGGTGTACCTCGCCCGCACCCGGGTTGCTGTGGTGTCAGGTGTACCTTGCCTGCACCCGGGTTGCTGTGATGTCAGGGGTACCTCGCCCGCACCCGGGTTGCTGTGGTGTCAGGTGTACCTTGCCTGCACCCGGGTTGCTGTGATGTCAGGGGTACCTTGCCCGCACCCGGGTTGCTGTGGTGTCAGGTGTACCTCGCCCGCACCCGGGTTGCTGCCCGCACCCGGGTTGCTGTGGTGTCAGGTGTACCTCGCCCGCACCCGGGTTGCTGTGATGTCAGGGGTACCTCGCCTGCACCCGGGTTGCTGAGGTGTCGGGTGTACGTCACCCGCACCCGGGTTGCTGTGATGTCAGGTGTACCTCGCCTGCACCCGGGTTGCTGTGGTGTCAGGGGTACCTCGTCCGTACTCCACTTTGTGTTGGTATTTTAGTGGATCCGTGTTACTGAGCACTTACTTTGATTGTCCCCAATCACCCCTCTTACTTATCTTTGGCATACCAGCGTCTCTCTCCATCTCTGAGGCAGTCTAGCTTCACACCCGTCCACCACGGTTCCCGGCCGAGCGGCCCAGGCGGGAGCTCTGGCATTGGGTGCGCTGCGCACAGCAGGCTGGGCGAGCCCCAGCTCCGCGTGGGGGCCGCGTGCAGGCTGGCTGTTCATCCAGTCTGGGGGCTGGGCTCAGAATGCAGGCTGCACGGATGTCACGCCGCCACAGTGCTGTCTGGCCGGACAGGTTTCCAGTGGTGATGTAAGATGAACAGAAAGGTGGTGACGTGTACTCAAGAACACACAGCAAAGTGTGTCCAGACAGGATCAGAGCTCCTCCAGGCTGCTCGGGGCACGCCAGCCAGGCCTGGGCCTGTTCTCTGCCCTGTGAGGGCAGCTCTGGTCCACCAGCCCCCGGGGTGTGTCCGAGACTCTTCTCCTGGGTGCAGCAGCCCTTTTCCTTCCATCCCCCTCGGTGGGGAGAAGTTGGTGAAGTTCAGTCCCAGACACTGCAGCACCCGTGCCAGAGTGCGTCTGCAAAGATGCCCCGCATGCTTCTCCCCCCGCCCGGTTCTGTGGTGGTAGGGGGCGAGAGTCTGGCAAATACAGGGCCCGCTGCCCTCCCTCCTGCCCCCATCCCGCAAACCCAGGGTGCCCTCCTTCTGTGGAAACTTCTCTGCTCACAGAGACCCGCCCGCCTGCACTGGGTGAAGCCAGCAGGCTCCACCAAGAGGCTGCAAGAAAGTTCTGGTTGTTCTGGAGCACCAGGCACCGGTGAGGCCTGCTTGGTGGTGGTGGCCGTGGGCCTCCCTGCCCCCTACTCAGGGTTGGGGCTCACGGTGCTGCTGTAGAAGCACGAGCCACGGGTCCCAGAAGCGTAGCTCCGCCACCGGCCCTCCGCGCGGGGGCCCGGCAGCGTGCGCCCCGTCTCTGCGGCGGGGAAGGCTGCTTACGACACAGTCCTGGGTGGGCTGCGCCCTGCCAGGGCGCAGAGGTGGAGAGGAGCCTGGAGAGAGAAAAAGCAGACTTCCAGAGAAGCCTGAAGTGCTGCTCTAAAGACCTCCCACCCGGCTCCGGCCGCAGACTGCCCTGCGTGGGGCAGGGCGCGTGCCGTGGCTCACGCACGCCAGCGCTCGGCCTGCCCCCTACGGCGCTGCACACCTACCAGCTGCCTGTCTGTCTACAGATCAGTCCCTCCTCCAGCCACCTCCCCACCATCCTATTACCTATCTATCCTCCTTTCTGTCTCTCATCTGCATGTCTTCCTGTCTGTCCATCACGTCATCTGTCAATCGTCTATGCACACGTCTACACATCTGTCTCTGCCTACACATGCGTCCACCTCTGAACCCTTCTCGTGCGGTTGGTTCCAGCGGTGCCCAGCCTGGCAGGCAGTCCGGAGTCAGTGTGCGCCCCACAGGCACACGGACCCACGTCTGGGACCCCGGAGACCTCCCTTAAACCACAGGCCGCAGTGCAGCGCCTGGTTCCCCGTGGTTAGATCAGCGCCCACGTCAGGGTGCGCGCAGCCCCAGAAGCTGATGCAGCTCCGCTGTCCCCTCTGCAGGGCCCCGTGGCTCCCTTGCTGCCGGTGGAGTCTTCCTGAGGAACCCTGCGGTCCAGGCAGACTCTGCACTCCTGGCCATTGAAGGCGGAGGGAGGGGAGGGGACACACGTGTGGCATCCCTGGCTCGGGGGCTGGACGGCGGCCTGGGACCTGCGGAAGCTGAGACAGAAGACCCACTTGCTTTTCCTTTCTGCTTCCGTGGCGGCCTTGGGTTCTGAGGGTGGACACCCTGCAGGGCAAGGCCTGCCTGGGATTTTCCCAGGACATGAGCACCTCTGCCCCTCACTTCCTACTTCACACCCGAGTCGGGCGTACTCCAAACCACAGTAGGTGCGGGACTATGGGTGGGTGTGGCGGCCGGCTCTGGCAGCTTCCCCCCGAGTCAGCGGAATCTGCCCTCCCGCCTCCCAGACAGACGCCCAGACCAGGCAGGCCGGCCGGGGTCCACGCCCAGTGCCCACCCACCCTCCCAGTGCCCCATTCCTTATGACTAACGCAGGCCCGGAGCCCCGAGTGTTTGAATCATCCACAGAAACAGCCTCTACCCAGCCTCTCCCAAAACGCCCCAGATGGGCAGCCTGTCCGGAGCGGGCTGCTTTTCCCAGCAAGAGTGCCAGTGGCTGTGAGGAGCAGCTGTCGGCGTCTGCAGAAGGCCCGGGAAAGAGCACGCACCGGGCTCCTTCCAGTGTGACCACACATTGTGAATCCCTGCCCGCTGCCTGTGGCCTTGCGTGGCCCCGAGTGGCTGGTGGGCAGGACAGGGCGGTCCCAGCCACCCACCCTGCCCGTGCAGCCACGCTGTGGGAAGAGGTGAGGCGTGGCGGCTCTCTCCAGAGTGCTCGGCCGCCGGGGAACCGCCGCACAGCTGTCCCGACTTCCCATCACCAAGAGGTTGAGTGCCGCCAACCTACAAAATTGGCAGAAAGATTTACGGAGCTGGTGGAGGACGGACAGTTTGGACAGCCTCTGCTTTCAGCCGTGTTCACTGCTGGGAATCCTTCCAGTTCAGTGGAGAGCATTAGTACCTCAGGCTGTAGCCAAACACCACCGAGGGAGGAGGAAACAGGCAACACGGATTCTTACACCAGTCAGAGGACGGAGTCTCGTATCCAGGTGTGGGGGGCCAGGGAGGAAGTCTTGTTCTCCATCCAGAGCTTGCTGGCTGTGGTGACCTTGCCTTGCGGCCCCGGTGCCTCTGTCTGCCTCACCTTCATGTTGCCTTCGCTGTGCGTCTGTCTTTCTGTGTATTCCCCTCCTTACAGTCCGTGTGAGCTTACCTCTGCCGGGCCGTGTGTCAGATACGGTGTTCTGTGCTGGGCAGGTGCAGGGCACAGAAGGGGACAGAAAAGGCCGTGGGCGCACCTGTGTGGAGGGGGACAGAAAAGACCGTGGCACACCCGCGTGGAGGGGGACGGGAGAGACTGTGGCACATCCGCGTGGAGGGGGGACAGAAAAGACCATGGGCACACCCGCATGGAGGGGGGACAGAAAAGGCCGTGGCACACCCACGTGGAGGGGG